ATCTTCAGCTGACTGCTTTTATATTTCTAATAAATTTTCATCATAATATATCTGACTGTTGTAAAAAGGACACATTTTGATGCGTGTGTTTTTGTCTTCGGTAAGGCTAATCTAAAAAAACTACCACACTGGAAAACTAAGACAAGAAAAGTCACATGTTTTTCCTCAAAGCTTTTCATGGATATTAGCAGCTGGGCTTTCTTGTGATCCTTGGATTTTTTTTGTAATTGTTGTTGTTGTTGTCGTTTTTCCTTAATTTATACTCATTCTAGGTGACTACAGAAAGAAATCCTACCTTTGTTTTCCTCCAGTGCCTATGAAAAAAAAGCGTTGGAAGATTTACAATTAGTCATATATCTGTTATCAGACGAAACAGCAAAGGATATTTGAAATATAATGAGATTTACCTCTCTTGTGTAACCACAGAATGTAAATGAACAACACAAGGGTTACTAGCAGAAGCACTCCAATTATGGATATATAAATGACGTCATGACATGAGCACTTGCATTCTTCTTGAGCTATAGAAAAAATAAAGAATTGGCCCCTTTCAGCTAACTCCCACAAAGCATTAAGAACAAAGGGGTTAGGAATCGGCTGGTGATATCAAACATTTCCTCTTCCCTGACCAGTGATCCGAATGAAAAACTTTGGTTAAGTCCGAATGCTAGCTTTTCATTAATTTCGATAAAAAAATTGGTTTCATTTCGAAGAACAGATTGACCGATGCCACCAGATGAATAAGTCAAGAAGCCCGTCTCTTGATTATCAGAGGTTCTCTTTTTTTTTTTTTTTTCTCCTTTTTTTTTTTTCATTTTTCGAGATACTTTTTCCGGAGCCTCATCATCCTCTCTGTTAGGGTAAAGGCGACTCTGGAAGCGAGATTTATTTTATGCTGACTCAGAAACAAAGACATTGTCATGATGTCATCATTACCTCTCTGGTTGGTGTTTCGTAGATCTACAACTGTTACTCTTTTGACCATCGTCTCCTCAACCAGACTTTCACCGAGTTCATTTGTGGCAGTAATTGTAAATTCATACACCTTGCCTCTCTCCAACTTTACTGTCAATTCATTAATTGAAACTTTCGTGATTTTCCTTACGACTGTCCACTCTCCTACTTTCCCGTCAGTCACTAATCTTTGGTACACAGTGTACTGTGTAATTTCTCGTCCATTATCTTCTGGCTCCTTCCACTTCAAGGTGATTTCACCATCTGTTGTTTCGCTAGGCCGGCCATATATTTCTACTGCTGCCGGGGGACCTAAATTGTTCAAATTTAGATTACATAACCAAATGTTTGAAATTTAAATTTCCTTTAAGTAGGGTAAGGAAATAGACGCATTCTTTCTATTCTCTTACAGCTATTGCTTACCTTCAAATCTTGTCTTCACCGTGGTTACAACAGGATCGCCTTCAAAAATAGCATTCCTTGCAAATACTTTCACGACATACTTTGTATCTCTGTCTAGACCCACAAAAGTGTAGCTTGTTCTACCAGGACCAGTATTATTAACACTGTTTGTTTCAGTGTCACCCTCTAGTATGATCACTCGGTATCCTGTGATAGGACTCCCTCCATCATCAGCTGGTGCAGTCCATCGAACTGTTAATGAGCTAGCTTGAATATCTTCTTCTGAAGATACGATAGATGATGCACCTGGTTTTTCTACAAAAAAATGAAGGCTGAGAAAGTCTACATGGTGCTACTGGGAAGAGGCTGAAATGAACCTTTGGAAAATGAACAAATGGCCCGTTCCTTTTGACTCATTTCGCACTTCTATTAAACCTTTGATTAAACTAAACTTGACAACAGCAACAGCATTTTTCTAATTAAGAAACTTTACTGATTTTTCGTTTACTCATTCACAGCAGGAAGAGACATGAAAATACAATTAAGTTTTCAAGTATTATAAAAAGAATTTAATTTTGGGAAATTTCAGATTTCTTTTTCCTGAGAAATATTTTCCAAGATGACATAACTGACGCTTAGGGAGGAAACAATAAGTACATCTTACTTATCTGTGATATTTTTACGATTCTGTGGTCAGAGGGACTCAGTCCATTGGCAGCAATGCATTTGTAATCACCAAAATCTTGATCACCCCAGAGCGTCACTTGCACTTTGTTTTCTCTGGCTCTGACTCTGTTTATTTCTCTTTCACCAGGTTTGTACAAGGTAAGAGTTGGTATTGGAATACCATCAGACAGACACCTTAACGTCACCGTCTGACCAATCCAAGACTTGTTGGCTGACATGGTTATCCTTAGTATGGTTGGTGGGTCTGCAAAATGAAAAAGAAATCACTCGAGATATGAAGCTGTACAACCACTTCATAGGAATGTGGCAACCTCTGCTGCTAAAGGATATTTTATGGCTACAGGAAAAGTGCGTCTCAAATATAAAAATCTCTGCATAGTTCTGTAGTCGGATTCTTTCTCTGCCTCTACGGCTGATATTACTTACGGTAGAACAGGATTATTGTGTGATTGGAAATAGTATCAGCTGTGTTGTTTGCTCTACATAGATAACATCCGTCATCTGTTTTTCTCACACTGTGGAAGTTCAAAAGTGCCGCTCCCTTTCCTGAACTTGTTACTGTTCCATCTCTGATCCATGTGACATCTGGCTGTGGAATCCCGGTTGCTGTGCAACTGACATTAACAAAAGATCCCTCTCGGTAACTTCCCTGCATTGATGACAAACTAATCTTTGGTGGCTCTGCAAGAACAAACATGTAAAGTGAAGCTGTGTTGCGTATGAGTGCTGAACCCTTTACGGGTAGAGAGGTTTTGCATGGTAGCCATGTTGCATGGCAGGAACAATGAAAATATTTTGCATAAGAAAGAAAAATTTTTTCCATGAGAAAAATAATCTATTGTTCCTGCCATGCAACATGGCTGCTGTGCAAAACCTCTATTGCAAGTGCGTTTTTAGAAAAGCTGATGGCTTTTCAACTTAAGTTGGATATCTTATGTACTTTGTGGTATAAATATGAATCTTTCTTCCTTATTTTTGTCTCTTTGCCTTGATGGAGTTGTTATTACCGAAACATTGTCATTGAAGACTTATCTTGCTATTATTTTCACTTAGGGCACAAGGTACACGCTCCAGTACTTATACTGGTTTTTTGTTTTTTTTCTTTCATTTAGGAAAAGCTTTCTGAGTATTTGCCTTACAAATGCAAAAACAATACATACGTTTTACACAAACAAAGTTATTTTTAACCCTCTCCCCCCGAAAAAAAAAATAAATAGCGGATATGATTATTTGTCTTAAGCAGTGAAATCCTGGCAATTACAGCGGTGTATATTGTATATGCGAAGACCTTATCGGCTCATAGGGATTTTCAGTTAACAGTCAGCATTCTGCGACCTTCGCCGGAAGTAGTTACATGGTACCGTAGATGATGAAAGTTCCTTTCCAATTTCTGTTTAAAAAAGACATGGCACGCAGTCAATGACAAGTTGCCTGCTTTTCTCCTTCGTAGAGACTGTCAATCGAAACGCTCTCACGATCCCAGAATATTGAAATAATTTTAATAGAGCAGGCTGAATCCCGGTCCAGGGACTTTTCAAACACTTTGTTTTTGTTTCAAAATCTGAACTTTGACGATTCTGAAAAGTGAAAATAGCCTTCCAATACCAATGTAATCAGAGTCACAAACAGTTCAATGCAATCGTAAAAAATGCCAACCGCCTTTCAAGCCTGTACAAAATTCATTCCCATAGTTTGAGATCTACCCACCCTTTTACTCTTTGAGTGGCGTTTAAAAAATCTTAGTGCTGATTCTGTGCCCTTTTCTTCTTTTGCTTGTATGGCTCAATTTTCCTTAAGAAATTTGCAAAACCTTGATGCAGACTCTAATATGATATTATTGCTTAAGTTACTAGTTACTGTTCCAAATGACGTCTGGCTTCTGTAGAATTAACTCCAAAGTCGCCTCATTACTTGAAAAAGAAAGGGTAAAGGAATGTTTGTTGTCAAAGCCTTTCATAGTGTTTTTGATTTGTCAACCGTTTGGACATAGAATCCAATTAAAATTTCATATTCCATTTTTTTCAAACCAATTGAAATTGATGCCATAAAGCTATTAAAACTGAAGAGGAAAAGAAGAAAACAAACAGAATAACTTCTTAAGCATGTCAAAGTTTAGCTCTATGAGTGCAAAGAGTCTCAATTAAAACCGATAAATCTAGACGGCTGCTTGAGCGCAAAACCGAGGTTGTTATACAAATCTACCACAGTAAGCTGAATAGCACTTTCCTTTCGAGATTTACCTACTATGTACATTACGACTCAGTGTTGTCTTTCAGACACGTTTTCCGAATGACAAAATAAGCATTTCCTACCACCATGACACTTCCTTTGTTCGACGCGTCTTAGAACTTTCTTTTCCCCATGATGGAAACCGATTTTGTTCTTTAATAAAGTCGACTGTTCTTGTCCAGTAAAGGGCGATTGCGTTTATGTAATAAAATTTAATTACTACATGATTGCTTGTTAATGTAGAACTCTTCCTCGCGTGTTCAACACGATATCTCACTCTTAACCTATCGAGGCGGGAGGGAAATTCCATATCAGCGCGCTCATGTGCTATTCTCTATACCTTGGTCTTCCACAACCACTTGCATCCATCAGATAAAACACTTATCGAGTCGATATAGCATGTATCTCCCGTGTTACCAAAATTCTCCGAATACTGAGACAATATTCGCAAATCCATCAAAGACGCAAGTATAGCAGGCCCTTTGGGTTGATTGGATCATCGCACCACAGTTTAAATTAAATCATCTTAACAACTCATTTTTTAACAAGAACAAACGCCATGTGCTTGAGTTTTAAAGTTTTGTACTTCATTAGGTCAAACCAATGAAAATTGTTGCCGCACATTCTGTCTTTGGAGCACATCAAAATTTTCAAAGAAAAACCTAAGAAAATAAAAGCAAAAAAACATTTTCTGAATAGTTAAACCTTTAACTTTGAGTGTTTGTATTAAATGTCATAGGAACCTGCATTGACAATATGTACCTCACGCTTCTTGTCAATGACACCGAATATTGCGCATCGAAATTCTGTGTTGTCTTAGCTATCATACCAGGAAACAAGTCACCGTTTCAAAGTCTAGTTATCTCTATTTTGACCTATGGTCTATCTACGGTGCTGTTAATCAAGAGCTTACGATGCAACTGTACATTTTTTCCTGGAACGAGGTCACAAGTGGAAATACATATCTAATGAGGTTAAAACCTATGATCTACTAGAAAAACCAGGTAAGAAAATTTTCGACAAAGTAAAGTATCAAGAGGAACATCCTCTGAGAAGCTTTTGACACAAACTGAGAGTCACAGAATATAATCTAGGACACAAATCAAGTCACCGGCCGAAACTAAACACGGATGGAGTAAAGAAATCTTATTTAATCGCCTAATTTTTGATTGGCTTTGTAAGTAGTTTTTATCTTATGAATTATTAAAGACTACTATTATTATAATTACTATTATTATTACTATTATTAGGAACCTGCTATCGCGTAAATGTTCAAATGCTACTTAATGCAAGTGATATCGATATATTAATGATATGAGATCGATTTTGAAAAGAGCCAATCATGTCAAATTCCCTCAAAATTAAAGCAGATAAAACATCAATCCACTCCTCAAAATTTGGAAAATTTACTGGAATTTGAGAAACTTGAGCTGGTTGGTTTCTTACGTTCGAAACTGGCGCTGTTTTTACTTCTTAATTATGATATAATACATATTTAAATTCCTACAGCGCCTTATTCCGGAACTCTAAAGCGCTTTACAATAAATTGTTTAAAGCAGCAAAATAGTGCTTGAAACGATAACCTTTAAGATTGTTTTCAAAAGATGTAGAATTTAAATTACATCTTATCTGCTCTGGAAGATAATTTCTAGGGTTAGAAGCGCAAACTGAAAAAGCGCGGTAACTGAAATTTTAACCTCTATCAAGGTGTCACTTACAAGTTTATGGTTAATGATCGTAATCTCCTAGATAACGGCGAGCGAGTGTAGTATTCTTAGAAGTACGGTCATATGAAGGCTAACAAGAAGTTGTGTACAAATGCAGCAAAGTTCACCGAAACGGACGTGGTGTTCTATCTTGTGCTAGGCACAAAGAATGTCCACGTCATCATAAACACGACTTTCGTTCTTATGGCCACAATTCGTAATCAAATCTTATAAAACTTAAAAGAAGAAGAAGAAGAAGAAGAAGAAGTAAGAAGAAGAAGAAGAAGAAGAAGAAGAAGAAAAAGAAGAAGAATAAAAAGAAGAAGAACCACTTTGGCCGGTGTTTTGAAGAAGTTTTCCGCCGGCGCTAGAATAAGTGATGTCAGTCCGTGCTCTTTCCATGACTTCTTTACGATGTGGACTCAAAATTTCAAGACAAAAGAAACTGAGGTTATCAAAGCCCCAGAGTTCGCCGAAACAAACAAACTGTTGCAACCAAAATGTGTTGATCCAAAACGTTGGGGCTTGGCGAAGGTTGAACACTAACTCCGTTATTTCAGAAAACGACCTAAGAAAGCTTTACGCAAAGTGAAGTTTTTAACTTAGATGATCCCAGAACACTTCAAGCAAAGTATCCCTGGAGATATTGCTTTAGTTTTGCCGCCGTGGCAAGGAGCCTGAAAGTAAAAGACTTATCATTTACATCAGATAAGAAAGGCGTTCGATACGTGTGCAAATCAGACAAGTGTGTTCTTATGCAATTTGTTTGAAAAGTATGTGATACTGAAAAAATACTGAATTCGTTTTTCGAATGGCATCGTGATTTACCAAAGCCTCTTGTCTGTGTTATCTGAGACCCCTCTTTGGGATAATTCACGACATCATGCTCAACTTCATCCAATTATTGTTTGAATATCGGTGCTTACCAACGACGACCAGATTCACCGGGTCCACAATCGGGCTCAAAAGAAAGCTTTTGGGCTGAATCCGACAACCAAACAGTCTGCTCTCATGTGCTTGGATTGAGCTTAGAGTAAACGTCACCTGACCAGGGTTTGTCTCATTATTCCAAATGCCCTTCAGACGTCCAGCATAGGCTTGGTTCGCCACATACACGAAGCCATTACGTGATATCGCTATTAGTCGGTCGTTGCCATCAATGTTGAGTTGATCAAGGCTCTTCAAGAAAACAAAGTCAATAAAGTGAAAATCTGCACCTTGGAAGGTCCATGAAAAATTAACAGAGGAACCAAGCGATTCTGTTATATAACGACCTCCATAATAAGAAGTGAACTGGACGCCGACTGTGAAAAAAAAAGAAAAAAATCGAGAATTAAATCCATTGGATGTACGAGTACTGCGCATGATCATGTTTAAAAAAAAACCGCTGCAATCCCAAAATGTGAATACCAAAAGTACAAAAAGAAAATGCTACGCTAAAATTAATGAGATTACGAGATTTTAGGATCATTTTAGGCAGCTGTTGTGAGACCATCGCTAAATTGATTTATATCAAGCTCCTCTCTGGACTATTTGAGACCTCGATCCCTCACTCGCTAAAATAGAAAGAAATATCCACATTGATATCATAAGTTTGAGAATGATCGAAGATGATTGTAGATTGTAGAACCTAGATTGTAGATTCTAGACAAATTCGCTGTACCTGGTAGCGATAATCCAAAAATAGTGCATTTTGTATATAACTGACGGTTTCTTCTTTTTCTTTCGTTCTCCCTCAATTTTTGTCTCATGGAAGTTTGTGATTTAGTAAAGTTGATGAGCTATTTCCTTTACCACTAAGTAAGCATTCTTAAAGCTCGATTTTAGCCAAATTATAATTATATTCAAGAGGGGGATGGATACAGCCGCGTTCAGAAAGGCTGTGAATGGCGGTATGACCCTCTGATGGAAGTTCACGCGCCAAACTTCAACAGTCACGCTTGTTTACGAAGTGCCCAGAGATGACAGTGAATTTCGTTACACTTCACTCAATACTTTAGTAAATTTGTTCGATGAGGTGGTTTCTCAACCTAAAGAGGAAGATTTTCGAGCTCCATAAGAAAGCAGAGTTCAAAATAACTATGGTGTCTATTTAGGATTAACGCGGGTTTATCAATCCAATTGTAAGAAAATGTCTCTCAGCCGACAATTGATACTTAAATCCATGAAACTAAATTCTACACGTAGATGGTAGCTTTTTATTCGATGACTGAAAACACACCTCGAAACACCAATCTCGTGGTCGAAACATACTTCGTAAAAGAAAAGCTATTCAGTCCTTCTCTAACATAATTTTAGAGATTCTCTCGGCCGCGGCTGTCAGATCGACTCTGAAAATAACTTCCGGTAAGGTATTCAGAATATCAGTTAGTAACAACCGGAAAACAATCCATCTCAGAGGTGCTTTCGCCCGGACGAAAAAGTCATGAATGATTTGGAGATACATGCAATCTACCGGGTTCTAATATGACAAACATCCAAGATATACTGATAGCGTTAGGAATGCTAATAGTTTGTTTATGCGCAGGGAACGTAGATGAAAATTTTTAAATGAAATCTGTTCGAGGTAGAGAAAGCTTGATTTATGGATGGTCACACAAACAAATTTATTTCCTTTAGTTCCTTGGTCTAAGGGAGTTGTTTAACTTGCTATTTAAAAGGAGTTGTGAAAATTAATCACATGGCTCCGAACTCAGAAGGGAAGAGCGACAATTTTGCCTTAATTACGGGAAACCAATGGAATCTGGAGCTTCCGACCATGGTGGCTGTAACAATAAGCGAATTTTAACAGTATGTATATGAAACGGTTGGGTATTTGGTATTGATATAAATGTATCAGTTAAAGCCTACTCTTTAATATAGTACGCCTATTAGATACCGATGGCTTAGAATTTCCTCACTCTTGATTTCATGTAGATTATGGTTTATGTACATTGCAGAGTGACCTTATGAAAAAGTCTAATCTCAAAGTGTCGCGGCGATGCGACTGGCAGTTTGTCTGTACGCCATAAAAAAAAAACCTTTTTTGAGGTGAAATAACGGCACAGTATAAAGGAAACCACAGCAACCAACGGCCCTGAATGAACTGTGTCTAATAAAACTTAAGTCTCACTTAAACTTCTCGAGGAAAGAATGCGCCGCCTGAACAATATAGACCCTCTATTGTTACACTCACTCACTCACCCTTCTCAACAATATGCATGCATGTAGCTTCGCCAACCATTGGAGGTGGTTGCCGCAGAAAACAAAAAGAAATTGAATACATGTCATGAATTAATGAAAGCCAATTACAAACTTATGGCAAAGAATATATATTCTTGTGGTTTACCCTGGATAACTTCATCGGCGTGACCCTGAGGCGACTTAGCAGAGAAAACTGTCAATCAGGTGACAAATGTCGCGGTAAACTGCTGAAAATCTTGCGTGACAGAAATATGTAAGGAAAAGTTGATTTAAAGTCATTTAGCATAGTCCAATTTAATGACTTATTTATGTTTTGTGGTAAGTATATATATCAGCGCGTTGGAAAGCCATCAAAACGCTTTCATGTGGTGCTTTGAGAAGAGAAAATTTTGCGATAACGGCCGCCTGAAATTAAACATACGGAAAATGAAAGTAGATTGTAGTGGATTATGTCAGATCTCTACCAAAGTTAAGTGGGGAAAACATGGGAAGTTTTAATGGAAGTTGAGTCTCAAATATAGATCTGTAACATCATTGGAAGAACGTGAGATGATGACTCATTGTTTCTTCCGCGGGAAGTATTCCTTATCGTCATGTATTAGCCGCCTGCGAGTAGGCCATGTGTTTCCTACATGTAATGTTAAGAATTCAACTTTAGGTGAAGAAATGAGTGCGAAATCAACGGCATCTCAACCGAAAAAAAAACTATCATGCACCTAATGACATCAATAAAGAAAGAGAACCATTCCCGTAAAGTTTGAAATATGATCACCACTAAAAACATGACACTAAGACAGCGATATTGAAATTTTAAGATATATCTTAACGGAAGGAGATACTTTCGGCTTATTACTTTCATCCACCCCAACTGTAAATTGCTCTTCTTATAGGAATAGTGAATTGAGTCACAAAAAATGTTTTTCCGGTGTGGCTTTCATCCTCATGTTAATCAAGTGGGTCAATTCTGAACCAAGTTTTTGCCCTTTTGATTCTATGGGCTTGTGATCAAACAGAGAGTGAATGATGATGAATAACTGCAGTACACTAGTAAGTAAACGTGGTTGTTGGAAAAGCAATTGGACACAAGTGAAGACTAGAATATGGAATAACTTGGTAAAAAGGAACAGAGAATAACCTAGAAAAGCTGAAGGTACATTCCCCCACTTTGAATTTGTTTGAATTGTAAGCGATACGATCGATCGCTACAATCCATCTCGTCACACTGCCGCTTCCAAAATTGCGATGCAAATATAATCTATTCAGTTTGCAGTTATGACAGAACACAAAGGCTAATTCCCAAACCATGTGTCGTTGTTACAAAACTATGTTATACTACCAGACTGAGTATGGTTTGGTTTATAGCATAAATTGTCGAGACGTAAATTCCGCATTTCATGACCATGTTTAGCTCAAAAGAGCTAGCCATGTATCGCATCTTTCTACTCATAAAAAACAAGCTTTACTTACCAGCCAGAGGAGTGATTAAGACAGCAGTCACAATGTAATTAAAGATAACCTGCAACATACTGGTGTTCTGGTTTTCCTAACGACCTCGATGTCTGATGTATAGCTTTGCTCGGAGATGCATCTTTTAAGCCTAGTTCTACAATTATATAAATAATGATTTGACCCCCTGTCAGAAGATCTCAAAGTCAGCTGTCACGGTGCTCAGAAAATATAACAAGTTTCGTTACACTCAGTTCGAGACACAGACTGATAAAACTATTTAGTAGACACTATATAAGACATAGAGAATTTCTTTAACTACAAATTGTACATCGTCGAGCTCATACTTTAAAACTGAACAATGATTACAAAAGTTGACTAATCTCCGGTAAAATTAAAAAGATGGATTTATGTTTGAACGACTCTGGACAGTAGCCGTCAGACCTCAACCATACCGATCACAGGGTGATGAGGCGTGAGATAAATTTAGATATGCAGAGCTCTTTTCAGAGCTTTTCAAAATCAGCATACTCGGCTGAAAGTGTAACGCAATATTGAGTTGAATCATTTTAAACTAATAATCACTTATAGTCTAAGAATCGTTCAACGTAATTGTCAGTAGTTTTTGTTACCATTGAGTGAAAACTATGATGGAGAAATATCAAAGAAAAGCACACTTGATTGTTTGCCTCTTTTTAATCGTTTCAGTTTTTTTTTTTAATAAAAATGCGTAGTAAGGCGACATGTATATTGATTGCCTAGTGGAGGTATATTCAGGGTTTGTAGTACACGCTTGAAGAGTACGATGTCTGAGAACTGTGATTAAAAAAAAAAAAAAAGGATTAGGAAAGAGATAATGAGATTTTTAAAACATGGCCTATAACACATTCTGTACATAATAATTAATAATAATAATTTAATATTTATATTGCGCAAATTAACATGTGTATATGATCAAATGTGCATTAAAACGCTTTTCGGGGGACTTTGCCCGGACTGCATCAGCCGTTTACAAACAATGGAAGGAAACCTATTTGAAGACGCCCCCCCCCCCCCCCCCCCCCCAATTCCCAGTACATGCATGAACAACAGGAGTTTCGGACATTTTAAATCTAACTTTCGCATGGTTGACCTTTTATTCTGTTGCTTCAAAGCATTGTTTTCCTTGCCCTGATGTTATTCAGCTCTGTCCATAGCGTGCACTGTTGAGTTATGGATGCACGCGGGAGGTTTCTAAGCACGTAAGAAGCGAAAGAGTCGCGCGAGGCGATAGCTAAGAACGACTCTAGCCTCTTGAGCGCCTAGTAAATCTCCCGTATGTATCCATAACTCAATAGTGTACGCTGTGGTGTTTACATTGATATATTGAAGCAAAAGAGTTCCCTTTCATTTAACAAATCGCACGTCACCAGACTAAACGAGCGCGCGGAAACTAGTGTTTGCTTTTGTTAACGTCAGTGTACACCCATGAGCAAGTGATGAATACTAAATTGACCCATCAGAGTGCACACTTCACTTTGGTTTTGTTATAGTCCCTCTGAGTCCAGATGAATCGCGATCAATCTCAGACCAATCAAACATAATTTCCCCTACCGTCATTTTTTCTTGGTTCTCTTAGCTCGCACACCGCACCCCGACAGGCCGAATTATCAGATTGCTTGTATCGTATCATTGGTTTCTTCCAAGTTATAACCCCGCTAACGGTTTTCAGCAAATCGCAAGATCTCAGAAAAAAAATTCGAAATACTTTCAACGAGGGACCGCTATAAATTGGATGGCTCAGCTCAATGGTTATCATCCAATATGACAGTTAGCATCCAATGCGGCTACCAACAGAGACATCATACACTGTACTATCAAAGGAAGCTGTAATTACACTTACATGTTTTTTTTACATTTACATTTATATAGCGCTGACTTCGATGTGGATATGTTCAGTCGCCCTTAACAGTATTGTAAGGTTGAGATCGGACGTCAGCATTTTTATCAGGCGCCTCTGACAGCCGCTTCAGTTCATGTAGCGATCTCACCTTCCAACCCATCCCACCCCGGGGAGGACATGCAGTACACAGTAATCTCGTGCATGGGAAATTAACGTCTCCTACCCCTAACCCTGCAGGAGACGGGACCTACGTCTTTACGTCTTATCCGAGAAGACGAAGCAATGTGAGTGAAGCGTCTTGCTTAAGGACGACAACGTCATGCCCCAGCCAGGACTTGAACCCGGGAAAACCGACCCAGAGTCCAGCGCACTGACCACTGGACTCACGCCTCAGTTACGGAAAATGTACTCAGTGTTTTGGTTTGGTTCAAACGAATAAGAAATCGGAAAATCGGGTTTTTCTAAACTTCCATTCCAGTGAATTCCCCTTGTGGCGCTTCGCGCAAACGTATTGTTCAGCTGTTCAAAATACACTTTCAAAATTCGCGCTTTGTAAGCTGTCTCTGCCCAAATCCCGAGTTTTTGTCCGTTCTCTGAGACTTCGGCTTCTTCGCATTGAAGCTGGCGAGTTTCTGAGACAATTGCATGAATAATATCGCATGCAGAAGGTGCGATTTTTAGCTAGAGTGTCATAACTCTTGCTATAATCTGAAATCATTAGCTGCAATTGCTGCTCGACAAATAATATTTTGCTGATTTTGGCGATATGACTGACGGAAATAATCTATTACTACCCTGAGAAAAGTGTTCGGCATATCTAGGATTTGAATTTTTGTTCAACACTGAAGTCCTTAGGACTCAAAAAAGCAAACCTCTGGGCATTAAGGATTGCCGGAGCGTATGAAAATGGCTAAAGGCTCGTTGAATCTTACGAAAGGAAAGTCAATTACGCAAAATGCAGATCTCGTAGAACTCTTGTCCTAGCATTTGAGGAGAAATTTGAGAGGAGAGGATTATACTTGATCTGCTTGCTGAGGTAAATCAGTGATCGGTGGCGGTTGACTCATTTGGTCCGATGATTCTTTCATTTTTGTCTCTGCTCCTCCGCTTTAGTCATGGTGGGGGACTTTAGTGAATTTCCCTTCACACTGATCTAAAATCTTCATTCTTATGGTAATCTAAATATATTCGGATTTTTTCTGGCAAGCATCTCGCTAAGTGTTAGAAAAAAGAATATAAATGTTATTCATGAGCCTAAGTCGGTCCGCGTAGGGAAAAACTGCGCCCTCTGTCTTGAGTACCGCCCATGGCTATCCAAAACGGTAGGCACAGGTTTACCCAACACAGACCTCCCGTCTGGTGAATAACATAATTATATTTCTTTCAGTCAGAAATACTTGCTTTGACATAAATCGTGTTTTAAGGTTTATCGTTGGAATTTAATTTCTATTACCAATATGAATGACATGACTAATATCTGATTCACTTTTTACTTATTGCACTGGAAAAGTGTTCGCTTGGTGTTTAGTCTGAAATAATATCAATTTATAACGTTGCTAGAAAAATTATGGGTTGCTATTTTAATATATTTAGAGACAAAATTGTTTGTCTATTCAAGTCTATAAATTTAAAAAGAAACATATAATTGAAAGGTATACTTTACTTCGCTTCGCTGTTAGACATCTTTGGTATACTTGCTTAATTAAAGCAGAATGAAAGGTAACGTCAAATCCAAAATAGTATATGATCTCATAGGACTGCAAAATTTATCACACCATTATACGGCAAGATCGTCAACATTAACGTAGAGTCGATCATCGTAATTGTTCAAGTTTATCAGCCCCTGAAAAAAAGGGAAAAAAATCAGTCGTGTACTGATAGAGCAGTTGTATGCTTTTTTAAGCTTGCTTGCTTTTGAGCAAAGAACTCAAAATCCCAAATGGTGGAATTATAATTTAAATAAGCGAAATAAGATAGAAATGAAATAAATGTTAGAGGCCTTTATGCTGAAGCCATTATCAAGTGCATCTTACGGTGGTAACAAACTCAATTACTGTTCGAAGAAAGGAGCTTCCTACTACTACCTGAATACGAAATCGTATTTACTTTAGGTTTTTGCTAACGGATTCAGAGATCAACTTTCCAACAGTTTGCCATTATGTCATACCTAAAACGCAAAGACGTCAAGAATATCTCATCACATTATTGGTGGCATCGAGTAGGGCGTCATTAAGCCTAAAATGTTGCGATTTTTCTAAATGTTCAATAGCAGCGTTTGGTTTTTGCCTTACTAATCATAAGAGAAAAACTCCAGTTTATTGACTCATTCCAACATTTTCGGTAGGTAGGCTGACGCAACATATAAGGTGAGTTTAATTTTGACTCGAGAACAAAAAAGATCCCAAAACACTTATTACAAAAAAAATATTACAAGAGAAAAGGCGTCGCAAGAAAAACAAAAACAACAACTACTATAAGAACAACACAATTGTTTCATACAATTTATCATCCACGTGTTGGAGTTTAGGCATTCTGTATCCCCCTTCTAGTGACGTTAAAATCTGTCTTCCATCCATCTTTGTATATGGTGAGCCACCAGAAATGAAGAAGCTACTCTTGATACACTCCACAACTTTCTAACTCTATATTTACTAAGTTTGAAAATATGGTTTCCCACTATAGTCTCAGCATCATTGCTCATTTTATTCCCAGCTGAGCCTGCCGACTTCTTGACTTGTTAATACAAGTTTTGAGGCCAAAATTAAGGGCCTGAACAATAGCTGTGTAACTTACCAATCGTGAAAATCTCATAGAGAAGAACTCCGTAGCTCAACCTGCAAAACAAGCGGAATAAATTTAGTGGATTACTGGTTTTTTTCAGCGTAAAAAATAAAAAACAACAACAACAACACCTTCAGCAAACCCTTTAAAGAAAGCCATTATACTCATCACATAAGCTGATCCTGGGCCAGTATTTATTACTCAAAGCCAGAAAGTGTATTACCACTCCTTTTGAACAAGATGATGCCACATCAATAAAATATAATGACCACATTACAAAGTAGATACAATAGCTCTTCCCAGACCTGAAAACATTTCATTCAAAGCCAATTTCATTAAACCTAAAAATTATGTTTATGTTTTCTTTGTACTCACACGTCACTTTTTGTAGAATATTTTCCGTACAGCAGCGCCTCAAAAGCAGTCCATTTTAAAGGGATACGTCCCTGAATGAAAAACAATTTGAATGGATTGGCAAAAGTTATGGAAAGGTGAGAATGAGTAATAAATGTTCTTGCACTAAACTAATCGCGAATTTCTACCTTTTGTTAAATAATTCTAGCGGTGATATGATATGTTGAAGAGAAACCAAGAGAGCTAATACAGACAATCACACAACGTAATTAATTTCCACACCAGCTTTTGGTACCTTTGACCTCATTTGATAAATATTGTCCTCTTGAACATCTCTGGCCATACCAAAGTCTGTAACTTTGCACGTTTCCCCTTCTCCAACCAACACATTACGAGCTGCAAGGTCTCGATGGATAATCTACGACAAATTAACACAAATAACGAAACCAGTTTAGGGAGTCCAGAAGAATCGAACGAAAATACTGAAAATGTTTGACCAATATAACATTTCATTAACTAAATATGGCGTTCTTGCTTGCTGGTATCGATGACAAATATGACATTCCATTTGCCATACAAACTTCATCAGCTGCTTTGAAGTCAGATTTGTTGTTGGTTTGATATCTGGGTCTTGAAAGTAAGTGTCATTTAATCCACGGCTCTTTCTTAGGTATCGCAGTAAATCTCCATAAGGAACATACTCAATTAGCACCATCAATGGTCCTATAAGGCATGGTTTGCGTGAAAATATGCAATGTATCTCAAACTTCTGGTGAGGAAGAGACCTACCCGAAAATAACTGTTTGGGCCTTTAAAGTATACTTTTCCATATTTACCAGATCTCGTGACACATCCCAGAAGTTTAATGACGTGAGGATGGGCATCGAGTTCCTTCATCAATTGAAGTTCAGTCAAAATGTCCTTCCTGTCCGATTCACGAGCGTGATCTAAAAGAAGATCACCCAACAGCTTTTACCTTTACAAGTAATAGCAGTAACTGAAGCGAAATTACAAGTACATTTCATATCTGACTCTGAGCTCTGTGTTGCTCAGTGATGGACCATCCCACTCAAAATCATGTGGTTATGAAATAATATTAAGGTTAGGAAATACGCTATAGCAATTTATCTTATATGGAGCTCGTATATAAAACACACTAAGACTGACTAAACTGGGCAGACAATCAATCCTGCTGCAGCCATCATGCTCAAATTACACAACACAAGTAAAGTCAAAACATTATTATCAGTCAAAAAATGCAACCAAAAAAACATTACGTACCCCTTCTTTTCCTGTATGACCATCCTTTAGTGATTTTGAATTTAATAAGCCTAAGATTTCCACGAAACAATTACTGGGCGGCATACGCTTAGCAGAGACATTTTCTCTTTTCTTATTGAGGCTAAATGTTTAAAAGGATTATTATTTTGTTATTTCGAATTGAAAAAAGTAAACAGTCTTTGAGGTTTGTCACATTTAAGTAAGTGGGAGGTAGGAGAGTTGATAATAGCAAGAATTTATATTTTTACTTATATACGATACTGCAAGTTAGTTCGTGTAGAAAAAAAGGTAGATTTTCTAATTAATTTGGAAGAAAATATAAAGAAGGTTTCAGTTTTAAACTGAGGCCACGTAAGATGCTTGTCCTGTCTCGATTACGCAGGTCTGGTCAAATTATTCAGGGTTTAAGTGGTACCTGGTTTCAAAGCGTGATATTATCAACTTGACATTGACTACCAGTTGAAGAATACATATACTAACGAAATGAGCCTTTCTCTCCCCATTTAAGAGGAAGCGGAGGAGGGGTGGGAGAGAGAGGAGATTGGGTACCCTTTTTTCTTCCAGGGTTAAGAAGAAGGCAGAATTTTCGAAGCTACATGCTGGAGGTACCTTCGAAAATTTACATTTTTTGTGTATTTAATACCTTTGAACATCTTAACAGCCACAAGTGTCGTCGATGGTCTCTCTAGGACACCTCTGACTTTTGCTTTGGCAACCTGACCAAAAGCACCTTTACCAACGACTTTTTTTATAGTAACAAGCTCTTCAGGAATCTCCCAACAGCGTGGCGCTGAATATAAAGGGGCGTATTCACTTACTGGCCCGGAAGGTTGTGGAAGGTTCGCCCGCTCTGCATCTATTATGGAAGATGACTGATTCCTCTAATCCAATTCCATGTACTGCTAGCTTTGAGAAGGCTTCGCCATTTCAAGCCCACTCTATAAACATAACTATGTACTAAGAGTGCAGTGGAAAGTCTTTAAAATGTTCAATTTCCTGCAAATGTGTCCACATAATATCGTCATTATAATTCTGTTCTCTTTTAGTACTTGTTCTGTAAATTCATAACCACTTATGACAATATCTTTTACTCTTTTTGGGGAATTTACAGGCTCTTATGCGGTAAGTTTCTCCATAGACTGAACAATTTCTTAGCGAGTAGAAAGAAGGGAAAACAGAGGTTATTTAAATTAAAAATAGTCTTGACCGAAACATTTCCATTCGCGTATATGGCAACGGCGACTTAAAAAGACTTCCATGCAAACCTTGAAACATTTTTTCCTATCAAAATCTGACACCTGCTAATTAAAGAAGGCTTCAACTTCTGAATGACTGACAGAACTGGCTAGGCAAACAAACTCGAGTTAAGTGTCAACCACGACTTTTCACTGTTACTGTGCCCGTTGGTAGAGAAAGAACTATCTGGACTGCGCTAAGAACCAATCAAATTTCAAGATACGTTGCCGTATCCTCTTGGGAAAACGAAAAAGGATGCACGGTCTTGTACCACAGTAAGGTTAATTGTTAAAATCTTCAAGCGACTTACACCAACAATTCCCATTTCTTCTCTTGTTTGTCCGTTTGTCCTAAAAATAAGAAAAAGGAATATCATACTTTCAGTCAAATTCGATTTCAGTTGAATGAAAAACGTAAACGATTTGTTCTCATGGAAAAGCTCACCTCGGAGCACTCCATAAGTATAGTCATGAAACGATTAGTGGCAGCATGCCATAAGTTGCATTGATTGCTGTAGTGGCTCAAAGAAAGTGATGATCAGGTTTCATAAATATTATGGCTAAGCATTCTATACTTAGCATTAAGCGGACTAGCTCTAGAAAAATTATAATCATTTCTGGATAGCCCGCACTTTGAAAGTCTCTTGATTGGTTTCAAAGTTATCACGTTAAAGAATGCTCTAGGAAATTGACTTTAGATGAAGCTCTTGCCCCGAGGGTAACTAACATAATCCATGTTTAAAGCTACCAGACAAATTAACAGCTGTATACAGTTTGAAAAGAATTGAAATAGGACGATTATTTATTATTTATTAAAAATCTCACCTTTCTCCTATTCCTGTTGCCATACACTTCTCTTGGATCGTCTTTGAAACTATTGCTTCCCTTTTAACGATCGAAACAAAGACAAAATTATAAGATCAGATGGATTCAACTGCTTACTTCAGTTTGTTACTAATTGTACCTACAAACGGTACTTTTGTAATGATATGCGATCCAATTTTCACTCCACGCAGTGGTTAAATTAATACATGTGTTACTTTACATCATTTGGCTGTAATTATGATCATTTCTTGATAACATGCGGTCTTTTTACATGCGGTGAGTTTGAGGACCTTGGGAGAAATTGAAAGATCCTTTAATTTCTCAGCAAAAACTTAAAGCTCTTCGAGGATCTTGGCGAGAAAGGGAAAGGTCGTTGGAGACATTGGTGAGAATTTTGAAGATCCTCAAAGAGTTTCTAAAGCTTAAGTTTCTATCAAGATCCTGAATAGGATTCTTCAAGGTCCTAATGGAGGTCTTCTTAGACCTCCTGGATTTCTTCAAAGATATTCACCGGGTCGACAATAGGGTATTGCTTCAGTCCCCCACCTCATTATTACCATATTGTATGTCTCATCTATACTTGCTTGGATGAAATTTTATCAGTAGTAAATAACAATTTAAGTCGCCTTTAGCTTGGTGTGATTGGTTACATGTATTATCAAATGAGATAGGCAAAGACGAAGCATTGAACAAAGAGAGATGCAGTAAATACATATTTCGATTGATCAATTAATTGATAGATGGACAGATATTTTCTTGTTGAAAGAGACAGTTAAAATGGACATCAATATTTTCTGCTGCAAGCATTTTTGTTTAAGTCAATCTGTAAGTGCAAAATTATTTCCGTACATTGTAGTACCTTTTCATTCCCTCCACATCATAAGATATAACTCATTTAACCTTGAAGTCGTTGTATAATGGCGATGAAATACATATCAAGCCATGCTCAACAATTATACTTTTAAAAATTATGAGCGGATTATCACTTCGATCTGGCTTTATTTATCAAATTCTTCGGAAACGATCACTAATTAAACCAAACTTTGAAAGCGATGAAGATTAACTTTAAACTAATTTTTAAATCAAAACCGGAGCCGGAATCTCCTTTGAAACGTTTCGAATGTTGAAAGGTTGGACACTGCACGAGTAATAACGCTCGGTGAAGGTCACGAAAACGTAAAAAATCCACAAATATTTCCCAAGTCAGGGTGTTTCGATACAAATAACTCAAAATTATTTCAAGCCGACTGAACAACAATATATCTGGCAGCAATTTTAACAATCGATTGTCGTTTCAAGCGAGTTTATGTCGAAGACCGAGTTGTGATGTTTTACTTTTGCCTGGTCGAACTTATACAATTTCGATTGACTTTGGTATGACTGAGTTTGACGAACTTAATTCAGTGCTTGCCGAACGTAATTACTGGACCTGAATAATCTCCAGTCGTCTAAAACCTCTAATGAAAAAAGATGCGGACTCTTACCTGCATCTCCTGAGATTCCACGTAAAATAGCGACTAGCCATAGAATCAAAGTTTTATGGTATATCTTCGTCTTCTAAGGATGCAACCGATAAATTGTCTCTACTGACATAGATATTGCTTTCTGCTGCACTTCCGTTACGTTGTGCGACTTCTGATTAAACTTCAAAGATGACAAGAGATGAAGGCCGGAAGACAAGTATGCTCAAACCTAGGCGGTGTGCGCACTCCGATTGCATTGCATTGTGGTAGCGTTATTTTCAATATGGCGGTAGAAGCGGTAAAAATGGGTAGAGTTTGACCGAATATTCCGTAAAAGTTAGGCCGTTTCTTTTTCCTTTCACTACAAGTGAATATAATTTGATATATTCTGAACGTGTAGAAGTATTTTTCCTGCGTATTTGTCACGTATTTTTACACGCAAGCCCTGTCTTTTAGCATGTAATTTAAGACCGGTTTTCAAGCAGGTCAAATTCGTTGTACGTCGTAGTTTGAAGCCTTTCAAAGACTTGTATGGGCACTTTGATCCTTCTTCAACAGCTCTGATCAAACGCGCTCAAACGCGCTCCAACGTTAAAAATGCTTTATGCATTTCAAGTGATAGTGTTTAAGACCCCTTTGTGGAGCGAAAAGGCCCATTGTTGTGTTTAGTGTGTTGCGTTATTAGGGACTTTAAGCAAACCAAGACGGCTACGGCAACGAGAACGTGGAAAACAATAGATCTAACTGGCAGAAAAATAGCTCAGCACGTGCGTTTTAAAACTTTGTACATTTCTTAGCCATCCTTTACAAAACAGCAACGTGAAATCACCAAAATTTGCGTCGTCTCCTAAGCGAGACCACGGCGGCAAATTATTTTAATTTACATTTGGAACTCAACGCTACTTGTATGCGATATGTTGAGTTTGAGGTCTGCCGCACTATGAGACGGTAAACACATGCAGCCATTTTCGAAATTCTAACTAAAAGTAGAAACTCATATTTTAGACGTCTTCCGTGGCGTTGCCGTCCTGACTGCTTAAATTCCCTACTAGCTTTACTACTGCAAGAGCATTTATCAATCGTGTTGTTAATCTACTTTCCTAAGAAAAGGAAATTCAAATAATCGCGAGCGTTGTGTGGTAAATCTTCAGTCTTGATCATTGAGTGAAGGACAGTTTAATTAGAGCAATGAAAAGAGTCACTTGATCCATGAAAACCTCTACTTTGCGTTAGGCGACATGCCTGAAAGTCGGAACCAAAAAGTGGCAATCTGAGGCTCTGTATGTATACATTGGGGTGTGGGACCTCATTTAAACTAATCGGGGAGTGAAAAATTGACTCAAAATTCCACAGCCAAATCTGTTATCACAAAGAGTATAGAACCAATTTTTGCTCCTTGATCAAGTTGGGGTAATAAAACAGGAAAGTCCAGACAGATAAAAGACATGGGTATAAAATCACACATTTACTCTTAAAAAAAAAGGAATTCAACTTTGGTCTTGCATGGCTTAGCAGAGAGGCATTTTGTCTGCGCATGCGCGATCGGAATTAGTTTGTCGCGTTCGGCGCCATTTGTAGAGTTTTCGATGCGTTTCTGCGAGGTTTCACTGGACGATCGACACCTTTTTGTAATATTTTGTGAATTTAAGGAATATGACTGATCACTCCTCACATTCATATTCAATGAAATCTGGACAAAACTTCTGAAAACTTTAGTGGTAATTTTGTTGGTAATTTTTACCAATTTTACAAATAAAGTAGACATAACTCCCATATAGCATATTAGTCTGGGCAAGTTGTGTACAGAGAACAAAAGACTAATAATTTAAACCAGTAGTAAGCTTCTGGGAATAATGACAAATTCTTGAATAACAGCTTGCCACAGTAAATGTCAGTGCCAACCATTCTGTCTATACTACCAATTATTGGGTCACTTCACGTTACCTTAAACAGAAGCTAGAGAACATAAAAGTTAATTCATATCATCAATCTTAATAAATAAGAATTTCATGATCACGACACATACAGCAAAGTGAAATATAACTCAACTGGTTTGAAATTCATAGTGCACTTCGACTCAACATTCATTTCGCAAGGCAAAGCATTCTACTGAAATGAACAGGACAGAATACAGCTGACGCCATTCGTTTCGAATAACACATGAACATGAAGAAAAGGGCACCAGTTTTACTCATGAGACAAAGCCCACGCATTTTTTTGAGGTTAATGGACTAGTTAGACCGAAAGCTAGATAAATAAACAATGAACTGACAATAGAAAGGGATTTGGGGGCCAATTGATAAATAAGTTTTACCGAAGTTTTTCCTCTAGTTAGCACATGAAGCTCGAAAAGGCAATAATAAAAATTACCGCCAAAACACAGTAAAAAAATAAGCCAAAACCGTAGTTGATTGAGGTAAGACCATAACCGTTGTTAAGACACATGCCTACCCACCATATTCAACAGACTTAGAGAGCAAAAAGGCCAAAGACGGTTTTGGGTCATGACTTGAAAAATCCACCAAAACCTCCCGAAAAATAATTCGCCGAGGGTTGTAGTTAGAGCAACTTAATCCTGAAGCTGGAACATTTTTTAAAGCCTTGTGTCCTATATGACTGTAAAGAGAAGGAAAAGACGATGTTATTTAAAGTGATTTGATGCTTGGGGGCCACCTCAAACTTAACGCAATTTTACTTCGAAGTTGAAGTAAAATAATATCAAACTCTAAATTTCTATCTTTCCTCGGATCAAATATCTCACGATCGTCTCCACAGACAACTTTGTGATTCACAAAAATAAAACATCAACATCTTAAGACTAACCTTCAAGGTTTGTTGTCTCATGTGTACATATTGATCTTCAGTAAATCTAATCTCAAACTTCAAGTTTTCGGGCTTTT